TGTCGTTTAGCGGCGGAGTGTGAACTTGTGTTGTTTGCCGAGCGCAGTTGTTTTCGTTTAGAATAAAGATTATTGGGATCAGGATCAATGATGTTTTTATCCTTTCCGCTCTTGATGTATTAAAGTATAAGAAATTAGGTCAATTTAAGTGTAAGTAATCACAATTGACAATTTTCTCAAGCAATGAAAACACCTCGAAGTACGCATCTTGAAACTAGCCTTTTCATAAGCTCTGCTTTTGTCTTTAAACCTTTCGCTGGGTCACCTCTGCCCTTCAGCCATAGTCTCAAGTCCTCAGTCTTGAATTGTGAGAGATTTCTATCTCCTAAGGAAGCTCCAGGAATATCATTTTCGGTTAAAAAGCTCGAGGAATTGTGAGAGTTTGTATTCGCGTCGCAATGTGTTGCCCGGGTGGCCTTGCTTTCGTGAAATTATTCATAACCAGTCTCAGACCTCCATCGGATTTTCCGCCATTATGGCAAAGGTGTATAATAACTGTTTTTTTTTTTACCCTATTGTAACGCCCTAAACTCGTCAGTTTGTTAATTTATCTGTTTTTTGTTTGTTTGTTTGTTTGTTTATTGATTCGTTGTTGTCTTTTCAATGTAGAGAAAAACTGTGGGAGATCAACTGCAGACGTAACTTCTCCAGCAACGATGGTGAACCACGAACTAACAGGAATAGCAGAGAGACCAAAATTAAAATGGTTCGAATGGCTGAAAGAACCTTCATTACATAAGGTAAGTTAAAATCTGGAATATCCCTTCACAATTCAGTGTTCTCATTGGTTATGACATATTCCCACATAAAATGATTTTTCAATCCAAAGAATGAATTTCCTAATTATCTGGATCCATTTATTCTGTGGTTGAAATTACTCTGCTAAAGCGACTCAGCACCTTGAAAATGTCTCATTTAAGGGGACTCGAATAATGATGTCCAAATTCTATATTCATCCTAGTTTTAACTACATTGTACTCAACTTTACATGAAATTTTTACACAAGATTTATCCTAATTTATTTGTTTTACTTCAACCTGTATCCTTACTCACACGACCGCACAAGCTTTGCGATGAAGTCTTTATTTATCGTGTCTAAATTAAGGTATTAGTTACCTTGCCTGCTTACTTATTAATATTTATGAAACGCGTCAATAAAATCATCAGGAGGTTTCAGTCTTTTCATTAGATTTCCTTCATTTCGTTAACTATTTGATTATCGCTTTTTCTCTTTTCCTTCATTTTAGGTTGGGTGTATCGTGGTTTTTTCAAACATCACATTTCGGATCGTACAATCATACCTTCCGTTGTATGTCCTCGAAACGCTAAACTTACGAAAAGTAAGCAAAACGTCTTGTAACAATTAAGTTTTAAACGCAGTAGAGTAATTCTCGATTGTGCGTCGAAAGTAATCCTGGATTTCATTGTTTTTGCGTTATTTTGTTCTGTGATTGGTCCAGAGAACTCGCGCCACTCTCGAAACCAATCAGATGCAAAACTAACTCCGTCCAATCACAACTTGCATTGGTCGGCCGCGTTTTCCCGCGCTTCAGGCGGTTTGGTGGTTTTTACTTTGAATACTCATTGGTTCTTCAGGGTTTTTCCCCCTTTTTTCTGATTGGTCGTTAGTTTCGTTTTTACATCGTAAAGCGCTCTAATTTAAACGCACATTACATTGTCATTTGCTGCAATATTCTACAAGATAAAGGTACTCAGGACGAAACATGTGACGTTAGATTCTAACACGTGCACACCGTGTGACATAATTGTGATGTTATGTTTGCTTTGGAGGCAAGAGGAAAAGAATTCAACTTCATTAGCTGATAAATAATTACGGATACAAGCCAGTATCAGCCTTTAATGACAGCCAACAGTTTCCTCTGTTCGTAAATGAAAGATTGAATCAAGGCCTCAAATTAAGAATCTCGCACTAGGTTCGCTGATGTCAATGAAAATCTCTTTTACTCATACATTTGTTTCCGGCTACGTTTCTTTGTTGTAGGAATCTGTGGCATTTTTTCCCCTGATCATTGTGATTAGTCGTATTGCCACCGAACTAACTTGTAGAAGCTTCGCAGATAGACTGACCACAAAACCGAGGGTAAATGTTAATTAACAATTTCTTATTACGGCGTAAGCATACCATAATTATCGGACGAGTCAGTGCTTTTTGCTAAGAGCGCAATTTCGCACCACAAGCTCTCAGGTTTTGTCGCACCTAACACTATGGTGTGCGATCAAGAATAGGACTTTTAGTAACTTATGGATCAGTAGCATGAACTTCTTATGGCTGAAGAAGCTTGTGCGTGCAATAGAATCATGAGTCAGAATCAAGGCATAAAATATCATTAATTTACGTGGAGGCGAGTATGTTTAAAAGAAATCAGTGACACAACATACACTTTCTTTTAAATCAGTAATTTGCATTGAGCAAGACCTTTTCTTTATCAACGGCCTCTTAGTTTTCTTTGAATTACTTTCATTTTTTTACAGGTTGTAATCTTGTGCACAACGTTTGCTATATTTGGTACCTGCATGTGGTTTTTCATACAGTCAGCATCAAGAATCTCTCCTGTTTATGTGCCCACGATCATTTTTGCAGGAATGTCTTCGGTTATCACTATGGTTACGCCGACACTTCAACAAAGCATTGCTGGGAATAGTAAGGTAAGGGAGCCAATCAGAAAAGGGACGTTGGTGCACCTATCAAGAAAAGATGCACTGTTGAAATTATTCGGCAAAGTAACTGAGAGGGGGGAGATATAAAACAGAGACGTTTCAAAAGCAAAGATTAAAACAAATTTGGTTTAAAGCAGTTTAAACGGCGAACTTTAGAAACTGCAGGCTGAACTTCTACCTGATCCATTTCTTTTCAGGGAGCGGTTACTTTGGTTTCTCTCGTTTTTGAATGCACGGAAAGAATTCTTCTTGGAGGGATTGTGCTTGCGGTCCAGATATGTTATCCTGGAAATAGAGACAGGTGAGCAAGTTCCCAGATGGAAATGTAAAATTAGGTACGGTAGTTTCATCATTAACATGTTTACTATTATTTCTCGTAAACCAGATCAGTTGGTGAATATCTGCGCGTTTCCTTCCCAGCAACCTTTGGTTCCTGTATTTTGGTTCCTCTGCTGGTGGCTACAGCGTCTATGAGTTCAAAAGACTCCAATGAAGGTATGATGCAAAACGCAACGAAATTGCGTGAACTAAACGTGACCCTTAGTTAATTTGTTTGGGGATAAATACACAGCTTTGGACAACAAAATGGCTGTCAAACGGCCACGAACAAGCGAAATCAAAGAATTCCGACATTCTGCTTGCAATGGGAGAAAAATTTGTCTTCCTAATTATGAAGAGAGTTCCACGGACAGTCAATGTAGCAGTACTAGAAACGATTACTTATATGTTCGTCTTATTTTACAATGGAAGTTTGATGTTCAACGATACTTTTGATCTTCAAGGTCCACTGCTAACTGTAACAGCAGCAACTCCACGAGAGGAGATTAAACCAATACGTACCAGTCAGCGGGTTGAAAACTGTGTTGAACGTCCGGGTATGTTATTTTGACATATCGCGGTAATTTCGTTACCAGATATTCCTAATGAGGTGAATAGTGAAATCATTCCACTGCTTAGCCAAGGAAGACTTGGAAACACGGTGGCAAAATACTCTATCAGTGGTTTCGGGCCTTAACTGTGGACAATTGGAGAAAACGAATCAGGGAGTAGACGTTTTCGAATGTGAACGCAGTGTTAAAGGCGCGTAAATAAAAAATAATTTGGTGGCATATGACTGGCTTTGTTTTGGCTCTAGCCTGCTTAAGGTGGTAGTTGGTATGCGCGAGATTCAGCGCAGCGAACATATTCGGTCACCAATTTGGACGGGCGAAAGATCCGGGAAGAGTGACATTGGCTTCCTCCCCATCCCCCCTCTCCCTCGCCTTGTCACTCGCCCCCAGATCTTCCGCCCGTCCAATATGGCGGCCGAATATATTCGCCTAGCTGAATCTCGCGCATATCAAGTACTGCCTGCAGCAGGCGTTTTTCACTCAGACGAAAACGAACAGACAGTGCTCATTTGACCGCGGCTAAAGCCTGCATCAACCTAAAAATGCTGTCTTATACAGACGAGTTTCCTCTCATTTTTTTCCATTTTCTCGTTTTCATTTATTCCTTTCATCTCTCAGTTTCTTCCGGGATCACAAATTAAAAGTTAAAAGGAAATATACTGCTGTATTCATTTTCAGTATGTTCAGAAACATCAACTCCACCTGTAGACATTGAACATAACGAACGGAGGCGAAACAGCGTGGAGATACAAGGTTAGCTGCTTGATTACGGGCATCTGTTCCGGCTTACAAACTATTTACAAGGAAAAAATTTTCCTGTCTGTTAGGTTCCTTATCAACAGCTCTCCCGTCAGACGTCGAACCTGAAGAAACAAGGTCTCCTGAACAGCGGGACCGAGGTTTGTACTTTGTAGAAATGATGTGTCGCACTTTAAGGTCATTTTTGTAGTCTTCTTGAGGAAAAAATAATCCGGTCAAATCACCCATCTCCACCAGGAGTGTAAATGGGTACCAGAAAAACTTCATGAAAAAACTCCACTATTCTTTCTTCTAGTTATTTAATTTATTCAATTTACCCCACTTTACTTCTATTTTTATTTACTATTTCTATTTTTAATTATTATCTCATTGTCAATCAAATTAGTTTTAAGTATTTCCGCTATTACATCATACAGCTATCTGAGTACCACCTTAATTCTATGTCAATTCCCACTGCACCTGAAGAAGGCTGGTTTGGCCAGCCGAAATATAGTACTCCGTTTTAAAACTTATCTACGTTGTATCCGTTTTGCCTTTATATTTATATTCGTTATTTTGGGCCGATTAGATCACTGCTGATCCAACGTACAAGAGTAGGATTATCGTCCACGGTTGCTTGCTGAACATTTCTCATAAACGAACTTTATTTCTTACCTTTATTGGAAAATCTAGGGAACGCTGTCTCCCCCTTAGAGTATAAAACTGTCATTAAAACCCCACCCCACCCCCTTCTTCCCCTTTCCTTTCTCTCTAGACCCTTTGATTCTTCTCTAAATTTCCTCTATATACTTTCAAAGTGGTACTGCGTAACTTTGAGAATGCACACCTAGATATTCTGCTTGGTGATTCTTCTATGTGCGAGTTTAACCAGATTTCTTTCCTTTCCTTCAGTGACAGATATCGAGGAAGTCAAGCGGGCATTAGATGAGCTTCATCGACTTCCTGCCACTGATTTGTAGCCATTATATTTATATGTTTATAGTATTTCTCGGGATTGCCGAGGCAAATTCGAACTCTTTGTTAACTATAACTTCGTGTAGTCCCTGGTGGTGGTTTTCGTCACTAACAACTGCTGCTGAGAAGATTAGCCCTCTCATTCCCAAAAAGGACCAAAAATGAATTTCTCCTTACAGCATTGATAAAATTTCTGTCAGAAAGGCGGTGTAGAAAAAAATATATCAACTGTTTGAAATTCTTCGATAGGACACCAAATTCTCCGACCCGAGAGTTGACATTTAGATCGTGGGATTGGAAAGGAGCACGCTCCATCGGAACTAAGGAGTATTTAACTAATGAAGATAGTAAGATGGATTTTTTTTTATTTTGCGGTCTCTTCCAGTCCCAAATTAAAGGAAATTAGATTCGGCATGCTGAAACACGCGCAGTTTTCCCATGCCAGCTGTTCTTCATTAGACATTTATTTAGCGTTCACAATTAGCCAGTTCCAATAAAGCATTTTCTTCCTCCTACTGGGAGAGAACCACGAAAAAAACCCCAATCTAGTTAATTTTTACATTTCGCAGTGCAATGTTAGACTTACCGGTTGCAACGTCTTAGTTGTTTCAAACAAAAGAACATTAACCCATAATCTCTTTGCCAAACCAAATAAAACCGCGGTCATGCAGATCTGGTCAAGCCAAACAAGTCAGCTAAAAAAGACTATTTGTACCCCCTCCCCACCCCCCAAAAAAAATGTCCGAGACATTAAAAGCGTTCATACCAATGTAAATATCGGTTGAATAATATGCAGTGATTACCGATAAAATTATAAGCGCTATAAACCTCCAATAAATTTAGGTCGATCCTCTCTCAACGAATGATTCATCTAGAGGGTATTTCATTGCCTCGTTAAGGGGACAACGACTTTTGAACAATAGATGTTTCGTGCTACTTTAAATTGTGTGCGAGTCGGATTTTTCTTTCCTCGTTTGCTTAAACGATTCCAAGGATCCACTTAGCTTGCTAAGTTCAACTCGAAGTTAAAGATATTTTAATTAAATGATCATCTGCTCGAATCCGGGTACATATACATTTAAACGAGAAACATTGCATGTAAGATGACCTAATGCGTCACAGTTACCTAACAAAATAGAGAAAAGGGCTTACAAATACGAGCATAAAATAACTTTTACATTATTTTTCTTTTGCTGTATTCAGTCTCTTGAGTCGGGCAGGCACACAGATTTGGCGCGATTTCAGGGTGCATGACTTGATCACGTGTGGGTCGAAAGTTCAAGTTTTTGTTTCCCTAATGAGTTAGTGATTTTGGATCCATAGCACGTGGTACATTCTTGTCTGATCGCAGAACGTGTTTGAGTTGGAAGGTAAAAAAAAAAAAAAAAAGGTTTTTGAAAACTGTTTAGTTACTCATGGAAAACCGTATCCCTGGCGGGCACACTGTTGGAAAAGTCCTTGTCCTCTTCCTCGCCAGCCACATTTTTCTACGCCGTTTTGATCACGATAACTGTCGCACCGATGGTATTTGGCTCTACACCTCCAGTGGGGATCATACCCATCACAGCCAGATAAAAGGCCGCCGCAGTTGGCGAAGCAAAATCCGATCTTACACTTACATCCTTGGCTATACTGCATTTCCACACCGGTTCTCTGTTCAGGAGTTACCGCGGTCCACTTCTGATGGAAGTTGCAGAAGCTGGTGTACAGATTCCCGCCCAAAATCTTTCCGAAGAGGAGGTATTCGGTAGAAGGCTGCAGCCGTACACTACACGACGAGATTTGAGAAGGTGTGTAGAGCTTGGTCAATGACTTGCTTTGCACGTTTGCATGGCCTTTAAAGATAGAGGTAATTCTTAACCAGTAGACTTGATAATTTCCGCCTCTATTTGGCATGGCAGCTCTTATGGGTGGACCCACGACCTTGGCGCGTAAAACTGAGGGATTAAAAAGCAACACTTGTGAGAGATGGTAAGAAAGTAAGTAAACTTTGCATTCCGACCAATGTGGAAATTCAGCCGAAGCTTATCCTGATTCCTTAAGCATAAAGTGACCAGAAATATTTAAACTCCTCTGGCTGGAATAAATTTTTTTTTTTTAGATATACGACGGTGAGAGATACACTTTCACGTTACGGTAAAATATTATCAAGGAGCCTGACTACAATTCTTGTCATTGTCACTAAAGCGTAAAGTTCCGGAGTGGCTCTCAGCGGAAGTGTGGGAGGGGGCATTATGCTGATGCATGCAAACCGAGACCCTGTTTAAGGCAAAATCTTTTCTTTGCTCTGCCCTACTCAAGAAAAGAAACTGTTATAGGATTGCGGTAATAGGAGCCATTTCTGGCATATACGGTCGGAAGTTTTAGAACTAGATTTAAAAACACTTGTAATTAGAACCGCTCATATGAACATCTCGAAACATAGGTCATCCATGGATATCACATAGATGCGGGTCCATATTCCAATCTTTCGACATTTGCGGGAAAACAGAGAAAAGAAATACCCATTCATGCAACATAGAGGGTGTCAAATATACAATGGGGTACATTTTCATCAGATCCTCTTGTAAGAAAACAAATACTTTTTTTTCATTTAATCTAAAAACAGAATGTTCTGACGAATCCCTGTGCGTGAACTTTGAACAAATGTTGGAATGGAATGTTTTAGATCTTGCCTGATTAAACAAAGGCAGACATAGATTTAAAACCGTTGCTGTTGTCATGTTTATAAAGAGTTTACAGCTAAAACGTTTTCAAATAATTTTCGATGGATTACTTGTATGTTATCAAGGATATAAATTTCGAGTATTCGAATCGTGTCCCTCTATCAACTATCAGAGCCACGGAATTTGCGAGAAGAAACGAAGCGAGTAAATGGCCAGGCCAAATAAACCCAAATTACTTGAAATGTGGCATTTTTGAGCAAAGTAAAAAGCGAAAAAGAGCGGAGGCCCAAGTTGTAAAATGACGAACTTACCGAATCCACCAGCGTTACAGAATTGTTTTTGAGGATGTTCCGGCATACAGAAACAAGCGAAGCAAGAAGTCACCGAACAGACGGATATCAACAGGAACAATAAAACGGCCATCTTCTTCTTTAGGTTCAGTTTAGCTTGCTTTCCACTTGCTCACAGCTTTTTCAAACCAACTGGAAACTGTGACCTTATATTGCTTCGCGACCGCATTTTTATACCATTTCCACGTAGGTAACAATGACAGGGTTGTTAACCGAGAGCGGTAAATAACGCCTTATCAAAATATTGTGGATGATATCTCGAGGGCGTGTGAATCTACCAGGTCAGGAAACGTCATCATAATAATTACTGAAAACATTTCGCAATGATGAAAACATTAAAACAAACAAAGAAAACAAACATGTCCTTAGTAACACCACAAAAATGCGTAACCCACTGCTACTCAAAAAGGTGCAAAATAATTTTTCCTTTCTTGAAACGATGCCACGAGTGGCCTTAATCACCACGACCTGGAACTGTTTTAGAAGCAAAATTTTGGACGTTTTTTTCTACTTCGTGAGGCAAAATTTCTTCAGATGTAATTACCTGTTGTGGAATTTTGTCTCGTTCTTATTTCAAGAGATGGCCTTACGTGGAAAAATTTTAGAAACGCATATTTCTTTTTGACCAGCCGGTGGACTTAAATAAGATAGACCAACCGATGTAATGCAGATCCTTAACTCTTGAAATTTTTTAAGTTGAGTTATTTCCTTTAGTAAAGGAATTTGCTACCACAGGATGCTTTCTGAAGCGTTTTAAATGAGATTGTTTCTGATTTCTATCTCTGTTTTTGTAGGAAAAAAAGATAATTTAAGGGAGTGATTGTTTATTGAGGTACCAAAGCAACTTTGAACTAATTTGAAAAGCCGTGTCCATGGCCGGTCTTTAATGTGTTTTTAAAGGTGCTTTGTTCTCTGTTTTCGTAGCCAGAGAAGCTCATAAGAACATTTGGCATTGAGGCAGAAGTCAAGAACAGAGGAATGAATTAAATCTTAAAAATCCAGCATAAGAAAAATTTTTTGAATGACGGTACAAATGCATTAACTTCACAAAAACTCTACACTGAGCTTTCCGGAAAGCGATGTTGCAACTCCTCTCAAACAAACATTTTTGTTTCCATTGACATCCACCGGTAATTTTCAGTTTCCGCGGAGATAAAAAAAAAATAACAAAAATGCTTTTATCATTAAGATAAAAATGTTGAAATGAATGTGCCATCAAAAAAAAAAACAAAATCGCTATTTTGGAATCAAAGTCACTAACACAAGTTGCTAACCTATCCACAATTAGGAAGGCTTTTGGTCAGTTGAAGTGAGCCTAGAAACTGGTCCAACCTTGACTTGCTTTCGAAACGTTGTGTGATTGTGCAATCTGGATAAAGTATAATACTCAGTAATACTAAAAGATTAGTCTACAGACGTCGTAGCAGGGGAGGCTAGCAGCCAGTTTTGGACAGGCCGCATAATTGAATTATCACCAAGTTTACGTCACGCATCAAGTCTATCAACGTCGATGTCGCTTAAAGCGATTTTGCACCAAATTTATTTCTTTATCTGGTTACTTTTCTTTACTTGTACGGCTGTCTTAGTTCTGAATTTCCTTTTAGGTTTTGGCTTTGGGGAAGCTTTAAGGCCGCTGTGTTCACGCAAGTGACTCAAACAGGACATGTCATGTCCGTGAACCGGAAATCGATCCGCGATGAAATGTTCACGAAAATGATACACGCTATATTCTCCTCTGGAAAGATAATTATCAGTGCGTATATATATATATATCTATAAAGGCCTCTCTTGACCTTGCTCGGATTACGTGTAGGTTTGTACGTGTCATTGTAACGCACCCGACGAAATTCCTGGCGTATTTCGCCTAAAAAAAGACAGAATGGGGTCATACTGTATCTGCCGGTGTATGAAACGGGGAAAATGCCCGGCAATGGAGTAAAATACAAAGAAATCTTTTCACGATGTAAGAAAAAGTTCTTTTGAGGCGAAACTTCGGTTATGTAGGGAAACAAATCAGACGATTTGTTACCTTCACTCTTACTGCTTACGTAATCAACATTTTTGTCGGTGATGTAACTAGGAATTCCGTCACTAATTTGATTTATCTATTTATTTATTTTAACAAAAATGCAGGCGTTTACCTGTAGCCGAAAGGCTGAGGGTCGAACAACACACCCTCACCAGTGGGACCTTCGAAGCAAATGTTCTCGACTGGAAATTTTGATCAGTTCCGATTTCCTTTTTCCTTCTTCTAAACGAGGACAAGTGATTTTAATTTAATATTTCTAGGACCTTAATTGGAAATTTCGGTTGATCTTGCAAAAAAAAAAAAA